GGCACTGGCTACATAGGACATAAATAACTACAAGGCTAGCCACTTATCTGATATACCCTCCGACATCGAGTCCAATATCTCGCCTCAGAATCGTTGCAGAGCAATAAATTTCACATCGCCTAATAGTACGAACGTTCCTCTTTCGAAGGTACTTGGTTTGTTCACCATTGCGGCAATTCTCGTGACACAAGACGAACTTTGTTTGTCTAAATTCCAAAATTCCATTTTCGTAAGAGGCGCTAACCCCATGATCGTTGCCACGAGAGCGGCTCAGCAACCTGGCCTCCTCGTTTGAAAACATTCCGCCAGGGGGGAGGATCTGCACTGGAATGAGGGGTGCTTTCAAAACAACACGATATAAATAGAAATGATTACTTTATCATCCGTATTCGACAATAAACAAGAAACAATAAACAAGTTTTGAAAATCAACCCTATTTTTACAAGCGCGAGAAACATTAGAAATATATCTTGTTTAATATGAACTTTTCCTTACATATTTTTTAGAACAAAAACGTTATTTACTTATTATAACATTTAGCTTTTAACAATCATACCAATCTTTTTAAAGTATCGAACTTGACTTCGTTCAACACTTCAACCGTATGTCTTATTATTTATATCGTGTTTTTTATCGTGTTGTTTTGAAAGCCCCCTCATTCCAGTGCAGATTCTCCCCCCTGGCGGATTGTTTTCAAACGAGGAGGCCAGGTTGCTGAGCCGCTCTCGTGGCAACGATCATGGGGTTAGCGCCTCTTTCGAAAATGGAATTTTGGAATTTAGACAAACAAAGTTCGTCTTGTGTCACGAGAATTGCCGCAATGGTGAACAAACCAAGTTCTTTCGAAAGAGGAACGTTCGTACTATTAGGCGATGTGAAATTTATTGCTCTGCAACGATTCTGAGGCGAGATATTGGACTCGATGTCGCAGGATATATCAGATAAGTGGCTAGCCTTGTAGTTATTTATGTCCTATGTAGCCAGTGCCAGTACTGACGACCGTTCAAGTACAACGAAAACGTAAAGCAATCGCATCAAATAAACTCAGAAACACAACAAATGCATTCTATTAACAAGTTAGTCCTTTATAGATATATTTTTTACATATACTGCTAATATTTTTTGAATTATTTCGTTATTAAATATTATAACCGTTAAATATTCCGTATAAATTTTCAAAGTATATAGACCATTCGGAGATTGGGCCGCCTGTGGATAAAGGTGAAAGAATACAACAATTTTCAATGGGTATTTTTCTGTGCGATTTCTACTGGTAGACTCTGTTGTTCACAGTGCCGACACTTGGAAAAATATTGGGCTTTGGGAGGTAATAGCTGGAAATTTTAGTTCTTAAAGTATTTTTGCCTTATATTTCATGCAATGTATAGATTTATTTATAGCCCAACCAATATTTTCACGTTTTAGTTACTGCTTTAATATATACAGTTATTCAGTTATCATTCACAGGCTTTCAAAGATATATGGGGCAGGTTGCCTCCCCCCCCCCCCCCCC